ACCCTTCGGGGTGGCCCAGTGGTTTGGGCTTGGGACTTCCATGTTGGAGGTCTCAAGTTTGAAACCCCTTGCCAGCGAAAGCAAGGGGTTTGCTTTCTGGGTCTAGCTCGTCGCACCGGGCTTGCCTAGTGCGGGTTACCTCTCCTATGTGGTTTGCGAGCTTTTGCATAGGAGCGGGGGTTTTACCCTGTGCGCACCCAAAGGGTAGCAGCTGCGAGTGTCCTTTGTCATCAAATAAAATAAAATAATTATAAGTATGAATAAGAAATATATGGACAAAGAAATTGAAAAACAAATAACTCTAAAGTAAAATATTAATTGTGAAGTGTCACTTTCTCAAGAAATGTTCATTGAGAAGGAAAAGTATGTCTTAGAAACTTGATGACAACATAAAGTGCACATTAAGTGAGCCGAAGCGCTCAACATGTTTTGCGCCTCGCTTCAGGGCCTTAAGCGTTCATTTGAAAACTATAATAAATATCTTTATAACACCTTTTTTAAACGAGGTTTTAATACAAATATCTTTTAACAATAAAAAAACATATGCTTAAATTATATATTCACCCTAGCTTTTATTTGACTTCAGAAATCATTGTATGTGTCTCGAGTTTCTCTTATTGATTTTGGTCGAAGTACCGAAAATTGATTTCCCATATCGGGTAAGGATCCCACACCCATGTTGTGTCAACAAGGTTGCGACACCGTCAAGAGTCTGCACAACTTAGATTGCTTATGCTTCCAATCTATAGCTGCTTGTGGTTGATTTGTCCCTATTCAATCTATCACATAAATTAGGGAAATGCTTGGTATATTTATTGCCATTTTCTCTCAACTTTCTCTTACGAGAGAAAATTTCCTTATTGTGCCATTAGAGAAAGTTTGACACACTTCTATAAACAAAAGCGTTGAATACATATTTACTTACCTTGTCAGGAGTACAGAATAATTGCTTACCCTTTTGTATGTGACATAAGGCTTCTATATAAGGAGCTCTTCTTGTAGATTGTAGCGCAACTAACTCCAAAAAGAGTTCGCTTCTTTTCTTTTGACTCTTGACAGGATGCAAGATTAGTTTAAGCGGTATGACCGTGTAGGTTGTCCCACCTAGGTAGCGGTGGATCTGTCTTTATCTGTATAGTTGTAGTCCCTGGACTTACTCTGTTTTGTTGTCACTCATACAATGTCCCTTCAACTATTTGACAAATCTTCATGAGATCAGTGAAATCCGCTCATCATTTGTTGAATAATTGATTCAAGCTCTTGTGGTTTGAGAGCATGCAGATGAGCGTTTACTCGGTTTGAAAGCTCTATTACTATAGGCTTCCTATCTTAGCTAAAAAGTCTAAAGATTTGGAAAACCCTTTCTAATGACTTTCCTTATACATCTGAGCTTTTTGCTGAGATTTTGGAAAACTTTGTGTTTATTGTCTTAAAATCCTGGAATATCCCTAACAATAGGCGAACAGCTTTCACCAACTCCCTGACTTAATCATTAATACTGTAATCTGTCTCTAAGTTCCTTATAGTTAAATTTTTACCGGCACTGTTGATTGTTGTCAGTGAACTTCTAATCAATTGCAAGTACGAGAATACAGGTAGCTCAGTAGCTGTAGATACTCCTATTTGTTCTCTTAATTGTCTCCATTTTTTCTGTTCTCCTTTCTCTTTTCTTGTCTGGTTGAGAATTGTTGGCTACTTTTATATTTAGTGTAAACAGAGGGGACTTTCACTTCAGTAATCAACCAGTAGGTGTATAAGCTTGTAACTCTACTTCTGCTCGTTGGAATGAAATCTTGTTGCTTGAGCCTATCTGTATTTATAACACTTGCATATCCTTTCATTTTTCTTGCAACTAGCTAAAATTGACTCTCTGCCTTTAGCTATGTTGCTCAAACTCTTCAAAAATGCCACTGGGTGCATGATAAATCCTTCGAAACCAGTTCATTTTGGAGGATCTGACAGTGTGGCAGCATTTTGAAGAGTCTGAGCAACATAGCTCTTTAGTGCAGAAACATGTTCTGCTTACACTGCTGGCCATAGTAGCTTCACGTGCATCTGCATCCATTCACTGCATTTGCTTTTTAGTCAAGTAGTAGTAGTGGTGGAGGTTATTTTTTGGTGTGATGGAGGTTCAAAGGGCCTAACAGTGAAACTCTGTATGTCTGGAAGTATTACCAAAATTGGTTTATGTTCTTCAGGAAACAAATTGATGTATTTTTTATTGATGACTTTTCTGCATTTTTATCAGGGGATGTTGCAAGGGTGAACGGGCAGCTAGCTGTTTCTCGTGCTTTTGGAGATAAGAGTCTCAAATCACATTTACGATCAGATCCCGACATTCTTGATATGCACATTGATGTCAATTGTGATGTTCTTATCCTTGCAAGCGATGGTCTCTGGAAGGTGCGTCTTTTCCTCAGTTTTCTGATGCATGAACTGTCATCAAGGGTTCGTCTTTTTTACTTTATATTAATTCAGGTGATGTCTAATCAAGAGGCAGTTGATGTAGCTAGAGGCTTTAAAGATCCCCAGAAAGCAGCCAAGCAATTAACAGCTGAAGCGTTGAAGAGAGACAGCAAAGATGACATATCTTGTGTCGTCGTCAAATTTAGGTGATAAACTTGTCATACCATATACTTATACTTTCAGATAAATAAGTGTGTGACTAGCATACAGTATAATCTAGAAATGTACAAGGGTATCGAATTTGTGACCGTTTGAGTGAAGCTTGGGAGAAGACTGGTGTAGTTGAATGACAGAAAAAACCAGAAGACATAAAGAAAAGGTGTTTGTTAATCAGGTAAACATAGTTCATTTGAACAATCGGAGTGGTCATTTACATCGTCTGAATGTATTTGTTCAAGTTAAAAGTAGATAGTGAAGCTAGCAGGCCATGTGAAGTTCAATATTTTTACTTCAATAGAGAGGCCTTATTAGTCTCTGGGTCTTGTACATCTGGTGTTTGTTTCTTAAGCAACTGAATAGGTCTAAATCTCCATTTACAAATGGAGTATGTGTAAGTGGAGCCCCTGTAAATTTGTTTTGGCATTTTCATGGTTGTAACTTGCGATGAACGCTTGTTGATACCGATGATATTTGTTTATTTTTCTATTTTATGTTCCCTTTCTAAAGAACAAGAGCATTTCTGTGGTCACTTCTCCTCAGGAAAGAGGAGAAAATGCTTCATTTATCCTTCGGTATTAGTCACATCTCGTATATTCATTTAGTTGTAGTAATTTTGCCCATTCGTCGCTAGAATCTTGTTTAATATTGTTACATCTCCAGGTAGAGAGACACAATTTTTTCGTAATGTCTTTTGAGTTTTGTTTTCTCAGTCCCAAAGTAGACGGAAACAGCCTCTCTACCTCCACGAGGTAGTGGTAAGGTCTGTGCACACTCTATCCTTCCCAGATTCCACTTTGTGAGATTTCATTGGACATGTTGTTGTTGTTGTTGTTGTAAAGTAGATGGAAACTGGGAAGGATAGTATTTCTCATAAATCATTTTGCAATATTCATGTCTCTCTTCCTATTAACAAAAACACAACCTCCACATCTCTTCTCCTTTTTTCCTTTTTTTGGGTACAATGGAAAACTAAATACATTTCTTAATATCCTTCATAAGCTATATGGCTTAAAGTTTGTGAGTTGGGTAAACTTTTTCTTCATGTTTGTGACCTTCGTTCGTTAGAAAATCTGCATATTGATTTGCCTCCCTCCGCCATACTTGAGTGAACTTCTTCATGTTTGTAACTTTCGTTCGTCAAAAAATCTACACATTGATTTGCCTCCCTACCTCCATATGTGTATATGATAGTGACTGTTCATTTTGTAATAAACATTTGCAAATCTTTAATAATTGCCCTAACAGGATGACACTATTATCAAACTATGCTCAGCTGTGAAAGTCATATAAAGAAATAAATAGAGGGGAAAAAAAAGTAACATATAGTAGGTATACATAACCTACTTATCGTAGTTTACGGGTGTCAATTGTAGATGGAACTTTTAATTACATATACATAAAATTGGAACGAAAAGTGATTTTCAAAATAATGCAACTCTCTAGTAATAATGGTATCATCCTCCAATTAGGATATAGAAGGTTTGTAGGTTGCAAGTGCATTGTCTTGTTATTGTCCATTTATCTTAGTAGTCTTAATATTGTAGTTTCTTAACCTTCAATTTTCTAGTATTTGTTATTTCTTGTACCACAATTATCATATAGTTTCATTATAGTTGTTGTTTTGTTGTTATGAGTTATTTGTTTCAAAACCTTAATTGAAACAAATTTAAGGCTTTACTCCGTAATTGAGTTTGAATTTTTCGAGAAGAAAAAAGAAGATTGCAATAATTTCTAAAAACTAATGAGAGAGAGAATATCTCACACGAAAAATATATTTTTTTAAAACAAGTTGATTTCTTATTTATTACTATCTCGTATATGATAAATATTTACTTATTTTTGAGGAAAAAAAATTCAAAAAATTTATCCGACCAATGGAATGAGAAATGTTTTCTTCTATGCCAAACGCACATAATTACAAAGTGATGGGCCTTTCTAACATAATAGAAACTTGAGGTAATATTTTGCTTATTATAAGCAACAACAAGGCCTTTTTCATCAAAGGTGATTCATAAGAAAACCCTAGCCCCACCCCTTATAAATAATGGCCTCTGTATTCTGGTAAAACGAAAAAGAGAAGCAGCTTCCACCATTGAAATCGATTGTTAATCATAAGAGTTTATGAGTTTTATAAATTATTTATTTTTTATTTGTTATTAAAAATGCCTCTTCTTTCAGCTACAAGGGCAGAGATCTGAGATCGATTTCTTGTAGCTTTGTTCTGGAGGCATATATTTATTTCAATTCGAAGGTTTATTTATGCCCAGATTTTGTTTTTCTGGGTTACTTCGTCTTGGTACATTTGTTCTTTGAACTATAACATTTTTATTTGCTATTTCTAAGCTACCGCCGTAGAAAATAATTTAAATAGATTGTTTTTCTTTTTTTATCATGAACGTTTTTTTTCATGGAATTAACAGTTTAAACTCGGTGGCGTAGGCACATGTATGCTAGGGTGTTAACACCCTTAGTCGGAAAAAAAATTGCATATATAAGTAAAATGATATACGAAAGTGATTAAATAATATATTTTGGACACTCATGACTTGTTATAGTCTAGTGGTTTAAGATGTTTTGAATTTATGTTTAGATATTTTTAATGAGTCAGTGTTTGCGTGTTTAAATTTCACTTGGAACAATTTTTTTTCCCTTTTTAAAAAGAATTTTTGTTATTTAATTTTTGGACCCTCATCGTCAAATTGCTGACCCCACGACTGTAATTGTACTGTCTGACTGAATATGGTGTAAGCCAATGCAAATATACAATATTTATGTTTGCATTTAACTTATGGACATTTATTCTTGTGTTATATCGAATTTGAATTAATCAGAATTCAAATAAAAATCAAAAGCTCAAATTGTAATGGCCTAATCGTGTTCAAATTTCAGCAACAATATCATTTATCAAGTCTTAGTAATCAATTTGAAACAATAACTAAAAAAAGTTCTCCAGTTTTTATTCTCAACAAATACTTATGATCTAGAATATCTATTACACTATGATGATTCAAACCCAGAATTTATAAATGGAAAATGGTAAAAAAAAAAAATACTTTCTTGGACTATTTGAGGGGTAATTTTTTTTAAATTGAGGATATTTTCAATAGGTGAATGAGAGTATTTTTGAACTTTTTCAAATAGTGTATTGGTACTTTTGGTCTTTTGATTTATAAATATTTGTTTTGTATCTTCTAAACCTATTTCTCATCTTAACATTTGGGTTTGGTTGAATGTATTATATATTGGAATTGGAATAAAAGAACAAACTGATTAATTTTAAAAGATTGTGGAATTACACGTCCTAATGTGTGTATAATGTTCATTCTGTGCTAAAACATAATTAGGAGATAATAGTAGCTCCATAAAAATAAAGTGTCACTAAACTTCAATTATAGCTCAAAAGATATCTATAGCTTTTCCCTTAATTCAATCATTTCTTTTTATAACTTAGATGAATCTAGCATGTCACGACTCTATAAATACTTATTGGAACCTTTTTTTTTTTTCTTTTTTTTTTATTTGATGTTTGATATTCGTAGTAAAATATTTTTAGTTATTGGAGAAACAATTTCATCTTTTGTACCACATCTTTGTTAATATAGGGAGAAACAATCTCATCTATTGTATCATATCTTTGTAAATATAGGGAGAAATAATTTCATCTTTGTTAATATAAGGAGAAACAATTTCATCTATTCTACCACATCTTCGTTAATATAGGGTGAGTAGAACGGTTGTTAACGAAATATTTGCACCATATGGCTTTTTTTAGCCTTTTTAACTATTGTTTCCCGTTAGATTACAACAAAAAATAACACGTTAAACTAATTATACAATTAAAGTGTGAAAAAGTATATATGTATCGATTGACTTAACTTAGAATTCAAATAGTGATACCTAATTAGGTGGGACATAAAATATCGAAAATCATATTATCATGTTGAATTGAAGTTTTTGAAGTTGATATTCAGTATGGTATTTGAGAGTAAAATTTGAATATTATGGTATTCGAATTTGGGTTTGGTATGAGACATAAGTAATATTTAACATTTATTATTTCTTAAATATTGAATTATTTACTTAAAGAAGGTCATATATAAACATGTCTATTACCCATGAGAATAAGTTAATAGAGAAAGTTAAAAGACTTTTTTCTATTATTATTGTTAAAGACTAAACATAAACAATTCAATTACATGTTTTTTAGTTATGTTAATTTATTTTTTAAAATGTCTTTTTACTTATTGATCTTTAATCATATCATACCTCTATATAAAAAAATAAAAAAAAATTAAGAAACAATATTAACTTTGTGATACAATCGACTATAACTTTAACACGGCATTATCAAATGTCGTAGTGAATCGAAATTTAAAAATCTTGATATTTGATATCAACTTTAACTAACAACTGCCAAATTACAAATCCAAAATTTAAAAATTTCAAACTGAATATAGAATGTCCACCCCTCTCCCGACCGATAGCCTAATGATCTATTCCGCATAAAGAAACTGTGCTTTTAATTCATTTGACTTTCTCCCCGTCATTTAGGTTTCGAAACGGCACTTTGTTGACAAGTGACAATCTATAATGGCATGGCCATGAACAACTTCTCTACCTAACATCGTTTGAGTAATGTTTATGAAGTATGAATTTATGTCTTGCTCAGTGGCGGAGTTAAAATTTTTAATAAGAGAGTTCAAAATTTAAAGAAGTAAACACATTAACTAATCAAAGGGGTTCGACATCTATTATATATACATAAAAAAAATTAATCATATATAAATAGTAATATTTTTCACCGAAGGGGGTTCGGATGAACCCCTAAATGTATGCTGGCTCTGCTCCTCAGATTGCTAATTAAAAATTTATTAACTAAATTAATTTTATTAATTATATTTTAAAATCTAAATTTAACTATTGATACTTTATGTAGCTATTCAACAGTAAGATAAACTACCTTATAAAAAATAGAAGAATTTTAATTATAAATCCTACCATATTTTCCACCTCAGATACATGTATCTATCGCGTCTAGATAAATGTATCCGAGATTCATGTTAGTCAGATACTCAAATACATATCATTAAACTTATCTAATTAAGGATTGTATAGCCATAAATTAAGAAGGAATTCACGCTTAATTGTAACAGTTATGGAATATTTTGGCGTATTGCAACTTCTAAAAATAATTAAAATGCAACCTGAAGGGAAGAGAGGTAATTATGTACTAAACTAGTGGGATTTGTGTTGTTTACCCTTAATAAGAAATAAGAATGGTATTGAAATAAAATAATATTCTATGTATTTTAATTAATTTGTCCTATTTTAACTAGAAAAGTCATTTAAAAAATTGAATAGTATAATCTTAAATTAATATGTCGAGCTATATATCTCGTGAAATATGCACGTAATTTATTACACAATAAATTTTTAAAAGGAGAAAGCATGGAGCTCCACGAAGACACGATTCACATTAAAGTAAG